TTGGACAACACCTCCCCCCCCCGCCCCGTTCCTTATGCAAGAGTTTCTACCTTCTCTTTAAGCAACAAAGTAATTATGGCTTTTAAACTGAGAAAGCGCAGGAGGTTAACATTTTGTAGATATTTGTGTGACTAAGTACGCTGCTGCGGAAATCTGGCCTCCTGCCTATTCCCAAGATCATAACAGTCCTGGGCAAACATGTGTTTTGCAATCGCATCAGCAAAACACTCAGCCTTTGTTTGCAGCAGGCCGTGCTTCTCTTGTCGACCCCCCAGGGCTGTAAACTCTGCCAGATGCCTTACATCTCCCACCTCTTTCGGGGTGGGATTTTATGGCATCAATTATTTCAAAAGAAAGAAGGCCCTGGGCTGGCCCACTTTTTTTTTTTTTTGTCTTCCGCAGCAATCTAAGATTTATAAAGCTAAATTCTGTGAGATCATTTTCCCCTCAAATATTTTGAATGAAAATAAAATACGACAGACCCCAAGAGGAGAACCTCAAGCTGCGCCAGGGGAGGTTTATATTGGATATTAGGAAAAACTTCTTCACGGAAAGGGTGGTCAAGCATTGGAACAGGCTGCCCAGGGGAGTGGTTGAGTCTCCATCCCTGGAGGCATTTAAAGAACAGATAGAGGTGGTGCTCGAGGACATGGTATAGTGATGGACTTGGCAGTGATAGGTTAAAGGTTGGACTCGATGATCTTAAGGGTCTTTTCCAACCTTAACGATTCTATGAGTCTATGAACCTCTACTGCAGTTTTGATGGGAGGAAGCCAGGACCGCTCTGAACCCCTGAACGTACTCGTTTGGGGGAGGAAGGCTTCTGCCTACAATTCAGGCTGCTCGGTTTTGAGTCCTACCCAGCTCTCGAACAACCAAGCAGGGAAATTCCATGACACTGAACTTTAAACTTCTGTTAAATGTAAAACTGAACACTGAAAAATTGTTTACAGGCTGCTCCTGTTACGGGTGTACCAACCTTGCAGCAAAACGCAGAGAACACCGAGGACAGGGCTGTCAGGGGAATGTGGCAACACGACTCAAGGCAGCAGTTCTGCATGTTTCTCATACTAAAGCTTTAAAGGCTTCCTTTCCTCTCCCCTTTCCACATACCACCACCGCTCTGGGCTATGCAATTAACTCTGGAGAGCCAAGGGATACTCTGCTTCTGAAGGCTTAGCAGCAGTTATAAGGTTAAATTGCCCAGAGATGCCCAGGTACCACAGCTCCTCACCCGGGGCCTTGAATTGAAGCTGGTAAGTTTCTCCAGAAGAAATGAAGTGTGCTTCCTACCTACTTGCACTTCATAAAATGCTCAACAGAAGCATGGAAAAAGAAGAATGGAATACTGGCAAGGAAAGTTGCATTTTGTGAGCTAATAAAATAAACTAATGAAGAACACTGTTTAATTCCCACTGGCTACTTCCTTACTTCAGGCCAAAACATAACAAAAACGAGAAGGAATGGGCTCCTCTTGCAACACAGGCGAAGAACTGGCTTGTGCTCAGAAAAACTGTTGGGAAAGAGAGTAATTACCTGAAAGCTAAAATGTAAGAAGATGCCTCACCATAAGAAGCCTTCCTGGATGTCAGATGAAAGGTCAGCCCC